AACTTAACGCTGGGTTTTCCTTTTTGCTTTCAGGAAAACCTTTAACTTACGCCCTGGGTGTTGCCTGTCCACAGTTTCCTGGTGGCTCACCGCTTCTGCCTGCTCCAGCCTTGCTCCGGCAGCTTCCAGGCTTCTGGGCTTCAGAGCTTGTTGTGAAAGCTTGCTGCTTTGGCCTGCTACCCCTGCTTCAGGTGTCAAAAGCTTTTAATTAGCTTGCTTCCTCTAATTACTATAACTAGGCCCTATGTGTCTGCATAACCTAGTCCTAGGGTCTGAAAGGAGAATTCTTTTTAGCCATTCATTCTTCCTTAAAACTCTTGTACCTTGGCTCTCCTCGGATCAAGGGAGAGTAAAAGAAATTTGAAGTTAATAGTGCATGATTCACCTTTGATAGCCTCCACATACTCGGGCTAGTCTTCAGTCCACAGGGCACGCTGGTGTGGGCATACTGTATTTTTATAGCCAATGTCTGTTCTGACTGGTTGATGCCCATGCTGTACCGATTAAGTATTTTGACTATAGCTATTGTATATATACATTGTGTCTCCATAGAGAGGCTACCTTTAGCTGTTTAGTAAACTGTTGTATTTTTAGTTTGCTTGTTAAAGGGACTTAGTATTTTTTCATTAACTGTTTTAAACACAAACTGATCACCAACAGAGAAGTTTATAAAAAAACAAATACAGTGATTTCCATACATATTAACAGTGATCACCGTTAACATGTCAATAGGTGTCAAGATTCTAGGCATGATGAATGGGAAGGTGTCTTCAGGACCGAGAGAACTATTCAGTACTTAAAGAACACTAGGTCTGTCATCAACTAGGGAGGACTGTCAAACCTACTTTATTTATTTATTTATTTATTTATTTATTTATTTATTTATTTATTTATTAAAATATTACAGATGTCCCTTTTTCTCCCCAATGACCCGTTCCACCCTGTCCCTTCTCCCTCCCCAGTCCCTCTCCCCACCATTGTTCATATCCTTGGGTTGTGCATATATGCATATAAATTCTTTGTAAACCTACTTTAGAGTGGTGTTAGAATTAAATAAGGTGATATGTAAGGTGCTTAGCCCAGTGCCAGGCACAGAGTAAGCTTTCTGTAAAAGAGAGTTGTTTATTATTTTATTAGCATTAATAATAAATGATGGTAGGGGAGATAAAAGACAAAGACACGAGGCAATAAATAGTGAACAGTCACAACGGACAAAAGATAATAAAGGCTAAATTGTAAAGTCAAGACTTTAAAAGCCATGTGTATTGTTTAGAGAGCATCATGAGCTGGAATGATCTGTTGTACAGTTAATAAATCTTAAAATATACACTTGTATCTCTTTTATCATAATACCTTTTTAATTTGAGTTTCAGTATCATTTTAGTAGTATACTTGAAGCTGAGTATTGATGTCATACAACTTTCTGTTTATATCTACCTGTATGGATTATAAACCATCCACTATTTATTCAACAAATATTTGTCGAATACCTATTGATTGACACCCAGATAAATTACAAATCATTCATTCAACAAATATTTATTGAGTATCTGTTGATTGTCAAGCAGTGGGCATATACTAGGGAAAAATGAGAATAAATTATTCCTGTCCTCATAGAGCTTGTATTTTAGTGAGTGAGGCAAACAATAAGCAAAATACAAAAGTAGAATATATAGTTTGTTAAATAATAGGAAGGAGCTAAGGGGAGAAGGAAGCAAAGAAATGGGATAGAAAGTGTGAAAGGGCAAAAGTACATTTCAGTGAGGAAGTGAGAGAGCAAACCATGTGGGGGAAGACTATTCAAGACCTAGAGAATAGTGATAAATGCAAAGGCCCTGAGTTGGGATTGAACCAGGTCACCAATGAGTCTGGAGCAGAGTGAGGTAGAAGAGTGGTATGAGATCTCAGAGGTTGGAGGGCCAGAAGATACTGGCCTTGTAAGTTATAGAAAGAATTTTGATTTTCACTTGGAGCGAGATCGGCAACTGTTGGAAGTTTTAGAGCAGAGTGTCTTGATCTGAGCTATGTTTATAGAGGATCATTGGGGCTGCCATGTTGAGAATAGATTGTGAGGGGTTAGGGCAGAAGTAGAGAGGCCAGGTAGGACAATACAGGCAAAATATGATGGTAGCTTGTACTTGGATGGACCAGAGGAGAGATGGTGAATTCTGGATATAGTAAATGTACACTAGATTTGCAGAACTGCATGGCAACTGTTTCTTGGATATTGAAATTCTATTTAATATAGGGTAATCATTCCTAAATTAGATATTGTAGCTATGTGATGATACTTAAATTTTGTTTAAGAACTCATTCCTTTACATGTCATCTACTGATTTTTTTCTATAGTGTTGCAATTTTTCTAACATCATAGTGCTTTTAATATGAAGTCTTTAAAGACATCTTTATATTTGTTTTAAAAAAAAATCTTTGTTCTGTGTTAAATTTATAATCTTGCCGTTCATAGTAAGTATACTTTTCATTTTGGTCAAATTAAATAGGAAAGGACATTTTTACATACTATCCTCTTATGTCTCAGTTAGCAGTGGTTCTTGAAATCTAGGACCTGAAGTTAGAATTCTAAGGAAGTCCTTTTTTTTTTTTTTTTTCTTCTTCTACTGAAATGAATATAAAAATGACTTGTAGGTTCAAAGGAGAAAAGCAAGATCCGTTTTTATTTTGTTACTTTATCAGCTGCTTATTCTTGTCTCATCAGGTTATCAGCTTGATAATTCAAGGATATTTCCTGAACTGACATTTTTATTTCATCACACCCTATGTCTTTCCAGAAAAGTTTTTAGGCAACTCATGAATATGTCACAAGATGGCTTTGAGAATGTTTTTCATCCTTAAAGCAGCCTGGGATTCCTGATTACCACATAGATGTGTAGAATGGGTCTCATTTGGCCCTTATCAGCCACACTACAATAGCTCAATAATTAGTGCTAATTTCATGACCAAGGTGAGGTGTGGTATTACACACTATTCCATTCAATGCTTCAAATTTTGCATGATTCGTACAGAAAATGTAGAAATATGAATAGAAATCACATCACCTAGAAATACCTGATTTTGTAATATTTTGGTGTCTTTCCCAGTTATACATATGGCATACAAATTTATAGGTATATATACAAAAAGTAATCTAGTATATGAACTTTACTGAACTTATTTTAAACAGATATTGTGAACTTTTCCCTATTAAATAATAGTTTTTAACAGTATTTTCAAGAATAACTTTCTATAATTTTGTGATATATTTAGTCAGCTCCATCTTTCAGAATATTTATTTCCATTATTTTACTATTGAAAAGCTATACTATGGTAAATATTGTGGCTTAATTTTTATTTGTATATATTTTCAATTTAGGATATTTCTCGTTATATATCTATGTATATGGATGTGTCATGAAATTATGGAAAGTTAGAAGTTGAAGAGATCAAAGTTTCTCACTTCATAGTTAAGAAATTGAAGTAATGGGGGATGTATAATGTCTGCCATCTATTAGTGGTGTAGAGCAAATGACAGTTAAGAGATTGGGCAAAATGTGCTTAGTGCAAGGCCTGACACATAATAATAGCTAACACTTATTGAACACTTACTAAGTGCCAGACCCTGTTGTGAGCACTTTATACTTATATTATTTCAGTCTTTACCACAACTATGTAAGGTAAGTACTATTAGTAACTGCTAAATTGTTGAGAACACTTGTTTTGAAAGGTTATTTACCCAGAGTTATATAGCTCATAACAGAGCCAGGATGCAAACCCAAGAGGTCTGACTGCAGATTCTATTGGGGTTTGGAGTAGCACCTCATAAGCAAATGCATTAGTGTTTCTACAATGAATCATGTTTGTCTTTTCAGTAAGTGAGATTAAAAGTCAGAGAAAAAAATACTATAATAGCCTGATGGCAATACATACTGCCAAATGGGTTGTGGAAACCTTTTGACTTTTAGTGTTGCAGGTAAGGGTACCTGGCATTTAGAACACATTCCATATGTGTTGGTGAAGACTGCTCCTAATAGTAGTTACCATCAGATACTTACATACTCATACACGCAGGAAATTGGTGAATCATATAGCCAGGCATACTTTTCTCACAATGCGATGTCAGGATACCCTAAATCAGAATAAGAGAGGGCTTAAGTGATTGTCATCCGTGTCTCTTCCCTGTCCTAAGCGTGGGCATGTCAAGCTCATTGCTCCTGTCCTTCTGACCATTTGCACTCCCAATTGTGCAACATGTAATTTGAGTCTCCTGAGTAGCCAAACTTGTATTTTCAGCCTTTCAGAGATCTTGGTGAAACAGTGTTTCAAGTTTTCCTTGCTCTTTATTACAGCCCCCTTTCTTTATTTTTTCCATCTTTATTGAGAAATAATTGACATATAATATTGTATAATATTAAGGTGTACAAAATGATGATTAGATACATGTACATACTGTGAAATGGTTTCCGCAATAAAGCTAACACCTCCTTCCCCTCACATAATTATTGTGTGTATGTATGTGTAAGTTGGGGTTTTGTAATAGTATGTAAGAATATGTGGTGTGAAAATTAATATAATTTTCAGTTTATTTTATGTTGCTTGATCCCACAAAACAGATTGTTTTGACAGCAGGCATTCAAGCATTGTGTTGGAATTTGGCATGCAATATTTAATAAGCTCTGGTACTTCATCTTGTACATTTTGGTTCATTTCTTAGTGATAGTAGATGTTGAGTTTAAATTCCAGGGCACAAAACTTGAAACGGAGAATGTAATAAATAATCACTAACTGATACAGTGTTCACAAAAATAGTTATTTGTTTGGCACTTGTTCATTAATGTAACTTTTTCACCTGACAGTATTATTTGATTTAGGATCTTAAAATTTGAACTACATGGAAATCATTGATAATTTTGGTATTTATTTTTTTTACAGAGAGGAAAGAGGAAAATGGATGGCTGAAAAGAGTATTATTTGTTTTATTTTAAAAGTTGTATTTCTTTTTCTAGGTTGCTGTAGTGAAACTAAAAAATGCAGATAAGGTATTTGCCATGAAAATACTGAATAAATGGGAAATGCTGAAAAGAGCAGAGGTAAGATTCTAATTATTGGAATATTTAAATAAAATTTTAGAAATATTTTTAGAGGAGATGTAAAATTATAGAGTCAATAGATCTTTAAATATCATTTAATAACATTTTATCTATGATGACATATTTTAAGGCCTAAGAGACAAATTCACTAATTCACAAAAAAGTTATAATTTATGGTGCTAATTTAATATTAGTAGTACATCAGAACTGATCATGCCACCTCAGAAGTATATGCAATGTAAAATAAAAATAAGAGGGACTGCGAAATGATGTTAATCAGAGGTGTTGCCATTGGCTACCCTGGGGTACTCCAGTTTGTGTATACTGAGGTTGAAGTGATTTTAAAATAATTTTTACACTAAGGGATTTTCATGTTGTGCCAGCTCTAGAATTTATCCACTCCCTAGTTTAAACTCCGCAGTAGTGGAACTCTTGGGTTTGGGTGGGCAGGTATACATTAAACTTTGGTAACGATTGCCAAATTGTCTTCTAAAACATTGGATCAGTATATCTTTGCACTCATAGTATGTAAAGGTGTTTGTTGTCTCACTCATTTGTCAGTTGTGGGTGTTATCAGATAATTTCTCTTTCTTGAATTATGTGAAAAAATTTTTGCTGACAAATAAGTTAAGAAATGACATCTCATGTTTGGTTCAGTCATCAAATATATATATTGGAGATTTAAAAGTAAATTGACATCTTGATGTATAAGACCTGATATTGGAATTCTTGCATTTCGCAATTTAAAATTCCACTTGTTTATCTACTTTTTAAAAATGGAAAAATTTGGCATGTCCCCCCTCAAATATTAGAGAGAATAATTGAGTTATTATTTGAAAGAGTTTCTCTGTGATAGTATTTTATAGGTGATAGATGTCTTTACTATTAATAAATGAGAAGGCAAAGTACATACAATCATGAGTGGATTTTCTTGTTTTAACACATGATTTCCAAGTATTCAGGAAATTTTGTGCTCTATAGGAATGTATAAGAATGTTGCTCTGATGAATGCATACCTATGGATCTAGGGAAGAGAATTGTGACAATTTTACAGAATTATTATTTATATTTATATTTCGTCTATATTAACTGCTCTTTCTCTTTAACCAATAGCCCATTAAGGATAAAGTTTAAACAATATATAGCTGAATATTAAAAATATAAAACTGCAAAATAGTTAAAACCATCACTGTGGCAAGCAGAAAATTTGGTTGAGTAGAAACTGAGTGATAGAATCTGAAGAAGTTATTGCATTTTTAGAGACTTAAATGTTCTGTTTTTAAAGGGGGGTATTTTTTAAAAATCCAGTAGAGATTGTGATAGCCTTTAACCATGCTAAATCCTTGGGACAACTTTATGAACCCCACGGTATACGTGCATCATGGTCTGGTTAATACTGATCTATGACAAGTTTTCTCAGCATTGGCACTTGTGATATTTGGCATCAAGTAACTCCTTGTGGGGCTGTCCTGTGCATTGTAGGATGTGTGGCAGCACCCCTGGCCTCTTCCCACAGGATGCCAGTAGCATTAAAGCCCTTCCCCCCAGTTGTGACAACCAACTGAGGACAATGTGACATATTGAAGCAAAAAAAGAGATTGCACTTCACATCTAAAGTCAGTATCTGAGGCATTAATAGAAATAGTTTAATCCTGAATGTTTATGGATAAAGTTATATGAGGTCTGGATTTGCTTAAAAATTTGTGTGTGTGAGTGCACACACATGGGCATGCACATATGTGCATGGAGGGAGGGTTAGACGAAACAAGATTGAGCAGTAAAATTGTTGAAGTTGGTTGATGGGTACATGGGAGGAGGAGGCTATTTTATTCTCTTGTGTATGTTTAAAGTTTTATAAATAGTTTATTTTATAAATTTATTTATGTAAAGAAAAGATAGAGGATGTGGCAAATTGTGTGTGGCCTGTGTATACTTATATATACACAGAAATTTTATGAGAAGATACTCAGAGTTTATGTGGTAACCTCTGGACACAAGTGGATAATGAAAGTGAGGGGGCATGACTCAGGAGACTTCAGTTTCTCCTTTACCTTTCAATTGTTTTTGAACTTTCTGGCATAGTGGTTTTTTAAATTAATAATTTAAAGATGATATATGATAGAATTATATTGTATCATATAAAAGTATTTTTTATTTTTAACCACACATTTCTAAGGTACAATTCTGTTACTTTTAGTCACAGATGTGTGATCAAAGCATATGATGGGAAGAATATGTACTAACTTTATTCTATCGGGAGGAAGGGGGGAGAATGTGATAGTAGTAGGAAGGCTACAACTTGTATCTTATTTCCTTAAAAATAAAAAGATCAGAAGTAAATGTGGCAAAATGTTTTTTATATTATCTAGATCAGGAGTGGGGAATGTTTTTTCTGCCAAGGGCCATTTGGATATTTATAACATCATTCAAGGGCCATACAAAATTATCAACTTAAAAATTAGCTATGAAAATAGCTCCTAGATTTATTGAATTTCAAGTCCTGCCTATGGTTGCCTTGGCAGGGCCAGACCAAATGACTTCACAGGCTGAATACGGCCTGGGGGCCAGATGTTCCACATCCCTGATCTAGATGGTAGGTTGGACCATGATTGTTAAATGATTCTGTGTATTTCCTGATTATTTTGAACTCTTAATGGTATTTTAAGTGCACTACTTCAGTTGTCTAATTTCTGAGGGTGCTTTAAAACTTGACTTGCTGAAAACTCGTATACTATTGAATGTACTCTTTTTTCCAGAACAGGAAGTGTAATAAATATATTAAGCAGTTATTAGCATAACATATTTCCTAGTTTTACATAAAGTGCCGTCTATCTAAAAATACTTTTTTTCCTTTTCAGACAGCATGTTTTCGTGAAGAAAGGGATGTGTTAGTGAATGGAGACAATAAATGGATTACAACTTTGCATTATGCTTTCCAGGATGACAATAACTTAGTAAGAACCATTTTTTCCAGTTTTATTGAGAAATAATTGACATATCACTGAATAAGTTTAAGGCCTACAGCATGATGGTTTGAGTTACCTGTATTGTGAAATGATTACCACAATAGGTTCAGCTAACACCTATCTTCTCATGTAGATACGGTAAAAAGAAAATGGAAGAAAAAGGGGGAAAATTCTCCTTGTGTTGACAAATCTCAGGACTTACTCTCTTAACAACTTTCCTATGTATCATAGAGCAGTGTTAGCAATAGTCGTCATGTTGTGCATTACATCCTTAGTACTTATTTATCTTATAACTGGAAGTTTGTACCTTTTTATTTTTTTAAAATATGTTTTTATTGATATCAGAAAGAGGAAGGGAGAAAAAGAGTGAGTTAGAAACACCAATGTTGAGAGAGAGCCATTGATCAGCTGCCTCCTGCACACCCCCTGCTGTGAATCGAGCCCTCATCCTGGGCATGTGCCCTGACTGGGAGTTGAACCGTGACCTCCTGGTTCATAGGTCGACGCTCAACCACTGGGCCACACCAGCCAGGTGGAAGTTTGTACCTTTGACCACCTTCCTTCAATCCTCTCTTCCTGGTTTCCCATGTCTGCTAATCACAAGTCTGATCTCTTTTTCTGTGAGTTTGGTGTCTGAAAGGAGTAGGGTTGTTTGAAAGATGAGAGGAAGGCTAGTGTGATTAGAATATAGCAACAAAGGGGAGAGAGAGGGGGGAAACGAGGCTTCCAGAGTGTGGATCGTGCTGAGGAATGAGATTTTATACTAATTTCAAAATGGGGTTTTTTTGTTTGTTTTTTAAATATATCTTTATTGATTTCAGAGAGAGGAGAGGAGAGGGAGAGAGAGAGACAGAAACATCAATGATGAGAGAGTCATTGATCAAGCCCGCAACCCGGGCATGTGCCCTGATCGGGAATCGAACCCAAATAGCCTGGATCCTAGGTCGAAACTCAACCCGAGCCACGCCCGGCCAGGCTCAAAGTGGGTTTTAAGGAGAGTGTGGTAAAGTTTTATACTTTACATAGAACATCTTGGCAGTAGTGTGGAGAATGGATTTCAGGAACAAAACTAGAGGAAAAGACTAGTTAGGGGACTTGTACAATATCTGGGTGACAGGCAACAAGGGCTTGAATAAGAGTGATAATCTCCTAGTAGGGATGAAGGGGAGGAGATGATTTCAGGTACTATTTAGGACATAAAATAATTAGAACTTTGCGTTTGAGTGGAAGTCAATGGAGGAGAGGAGTCAGAATGATTCCCAGTTTTCCAGGTCTGACTTGTGGGATTCAGTGGTTAGTACTTGGTGAATTGAGTTAGAGAAATAGGAAGAGAACATTTAGAGTAGAGGAGAAGATGGTTAGTTTAATTTTGTATGTGTGAGCTTTGGATTGTCACGTGATCCATTTAGTGGGGTAGATAGATAAGTCTGGTGCTTCTGAGGGTGATTAGCACTACAAATCTGGGAGTTCTTATGGATCAGGTTTTGGCAAGCTATGACCTGCAGCTCAAATTTGACCCACCACTCATTTTTGTACAGCTTGCAAGCTAAGAATTGTTTTTATATTTTTAAATAGTTGAGGAAAAAATCAAAAGAAAAATATTTTGTGACATGAATATTATACAAAATTCAAATTTTAGTGGCCATAAAGTTTTATTGGAACACAGCCATGCCCATTGATTTATGTATTGTCTGCAGCTGCTTTTGTGCTACAATGGCTGAGTCGACTAGTTGAGACAGAGACTGGCACTGTGACAGGGAAACACACTGTATGTGCTCAGCAGATTACAAACTGCAGTGACAGTTACAACTTGATAGCTTTGAAAGTGCTCTATATAGTGCTATACTATGACATTTTATTGTTTTTGTTAATAGTGCACACTCATCATGGCAAATTAAGGAGAGAAGAAAAAAGTAGACTTCAGATATCATGCATTTAAAGCACTGTAGAGTGTGAATTATTTTGTTAACAAATGACAGCATGGTGTTTATCATGCAGCTACATTGTGACTGTATAATAAATGTTTACATTGCCACAGTTAGCAATCATCACAACATTCCTAACTCACAGGAAAGCAGCAGTCAGTAAAGTTAGAAAATTTAAAACATAATATCTTACCACAGCAGAATTTCTTCACAAAAGTAAAAAATGAAATGAGTCTTTCAACTTTCAACTGTAGGAAGTTCCTCGAATGCCTCATTTGTTAGCCAGGCAAGGAAAACAGTTCACCCATGTTGAGATAATTAAATCATGTCTGATGATTGCAGCAGCCAAAGAAGTGTGTCCACAGAAAATTAACGTGTCTAAGACTATTAGCCTTTTGGTGAGAATAGTTGCTCAAAGAATTGAGGAGCAACATCAATGGTTGATTATAAAACCAGGGAAGTGATTTTTAGTGGTTTTCTTTGGCTCTTGAGTTGAAAGATGTTACTGATTCTGTTCATTTTTTATTATTTGAAGAGTCAGTGCTGAGTTTAAAATAATAGGAATTAGCCTGTATGAATAGTTTGTGTGGTACAATTATAGTCAATAGTATTTTCAAAGAAGTTCAGAAAACACTAATCTGGAACAACCTAACTGGAACCTGCTAAGATGTATTACAGTTGAGTGATGAAAATATGTGTGAAGCAGAAAGAGGCTTAGTAGGACACATACACAAATCATTAAATATTAGGTGCTGAAGTCTATGGATATTCATTGTCTTGTTATTAATCAGCAGGTATTTTGCAGCAAATATTTGAACCTATCATGTGTTATTGAACCAGTAGCGTCAACGTTGAACTTCATTCAGTCTGATGGAAACAAGTGTTACCAGTTTCACGAATTTTTGTCAGAAATCAAAGCTGCATATCCTGACTTGCTATACAATACAGCTGTTCAGTCGTTTTGTAGTGGTAACATACTATTGCAATATTTTGAACAAAGGTCCAAGACTGAAATATTTTTGAACAAAAAACCCCATCCTCAACCATTATTGTGAAATACTGAATTGCTTTGGAAAGTAGCTTTTCCTGTAGACTTGATATATTTTAAAAATAATTATAACCCAAATTACAAGGCAAAGCAGCACTTACATGCAAAACTTGTATTACGGTGAATTCATTTTGACAACTAACATTGTTTGAATCACATGTAATGTCAAGTTGCTTTATCTACTTCCCATGCTGTCAAAAGAAAAAGAAGTGAGATCTCCTTTCCCACACAGATTTGCAGCAGATGGATCTTTTGAGCTCAAACTGTAGTTCTAGCATTAATTTTTGGGACTTGGTGCAAATGAAAAGGAAATGTCCATAGTTAAAAATCCCAAGTGATTAATTTGCAATGCAATGACATGCTTAGATTCCCTCTGTGGGTTCAATTAATTTGCTAGCACAGCTCACAGAACTCAGGTGAAAGAGATGCATAGGGCAAGGCATGAGGAAAGGGACACAGAGCTTCCATGCCCTCTCTGAGATCACACCACTCTCTCAGCACCTTCATTTGTTGGCCAACCTGGAAGCTCTCCAAACCGCATCCTTTTGGAGTTTTATGAAGGCTTCATTACATAAGTATGTTTGTTTAAATCCTGGGCCAATCATGATTGATTTCAACCTCCAGTTCCTTTCTTGGGGTGGGGAGAGGGTGGGACTGAAGTTCCAACTCTTTAATCTTGGTTGGTTCCCCTGGCAGCCAGCTCCCATCCTTAGGTTACCTAGGAGCTTTCCAAAAAGTTGCCTCATTGACATCAACTCTGGTGTGGTTAAAAGTTGCTTGTTATCAGTAACAAAAGGCAGACACCTTTATCTTGTCAGTTAAGAAATTCTAAGGGTTTTCAGGAGCTTTGTGCCTATACACACACACACACACACTTCTTATAAATCACAATATCAGACACAAACTCATTCCATATCTAAAATTAGTTGGCTTCTGTTTACATGTACCTTAGAAAAGTCCATTCTGATATTTGTACACTATCAGAAATAGGAAGAGAAACATATATATTGTGAGAATTACTGTATTCTATATTATAATGGTTTTCAAATGCTTATCCAAGTGCTGGTTATAATAAAGTTGTTACTGGTCCAAGATGAAATAAGGAAAATGTAGTGATGATGAAGATGAATTTATTCAATGTAAAGAACTATCTTATATTCTGAATTTTTTAAAATCCACTTTGGAGAATTAAAATGTTCATTCTTTTGTGAAATGTTGGTAAAACTGTGGTCTGTTGTTGTAGGTGGTGATGATGATGTTACTTTGCAAAATACAACAACAAAACAATAGTAATCCTATGTGGTTCCTGACCCAATTTTTAAAAATTTATTTTACTGCTTTATGAAATTTACAAGTTTTATAATGACTGCTGATGATAAATGTATGTAGCTTTTTGTCAGTTGACAAGTCTTTTACCTAGTGCTATTTGACCTTGGGTTACATTAAATATACTATTTTTCACCCTTTTAAATTTATTGAGTACATTTTATTGTTTTTTCTCCAGTATCTGGTTATGGATTATTATGTTGGTGGGGATTTGCTTACTTTGCTCAGCAAATTTGAAGATAGATTGCCTGAAGATATGGCTCGATTTTACTTGGCTGAGATGGTGATAGCAATTGATTCAGTTCATCAGCTGCATTATGTACACAGGTGAGTAAGATGTTGTTTCATTGCCTCATGTAATATCTAGAAGCAGAGGTCTATTTATACCAGAGTTGTTAATTATGGTCTTAAATACATTTCTCACCAACCAAAATATTTATTCTGAAATGGTTTTAATTGTCTTGCTTCTACAAGGCACATCACATCCCTGAAATTGGTACACAGTAATGAGATGAACTGATGTAAACAATTCATGTAATAAATGATCACTGATAATTTATATGTGCTGTGCTAAAGTGTAAGCTACTGTTGCTTATCATGTTATTGATTTTTATGTTTGCCTTATTTTCCCCATTAGATTTTAAGCTTCTAGAGGCATAGACTGATATTTTCCTGTTGTGCTCAATGGATGTATTTTATTATTTCTCTCTGGCGGTTTGCTTCACCTAGTGGAGCCTTGTGGTTGTTTCAAGGTTTTAATTGGTGTGGGTTAATAGGTCGCTGCAATATAGCACTCTCATTGTCAAATCATATTTTAGGAACAGTTACTCTGTTGTATCTGATATTTAAACCAAATTATACTTAAATTTCAAAAATGGTTACGTCAGTCACTGTTGTATAGTGTCCACTGGCTTTTATTTTCTCATAGTCAAGTTCTTTAGTCATTTCTTTCCTTTGCGCCACATTCTGTAATAGATTTGGATAACTTAAAAATCGTGTGCAACAAAATGGCAAAATAGGTGAGGGACTAAAGAGTCCTGAGGTTGAAATTACATTTAAAAGAACCTAAACCAGGATAAAAAAGCTAATGAGCAGACGTTCTCAAGTTATGTTTTCATATTTTTCATGCATATTTTTACTTCTTTTCTGGCATAGTTAATTTATGTGAAAATGTTCAAATTTCAGATCAGACCAAGATCCTAAGGGCTCAGGCACACTAGCTTTTTGTTGAATGGAATCTCTCTCTGAAGGCAAACTAAGCTGGTTTCATGGAACTTAATGGCATACGTGTGCTTTCCTGTGTTTGTTTTAAAGTTAAGTACTGGCTTGAACAAATTCTTAGGGTGGAATGTGTTTTTTTGAAGTAATCTCTTCTTACCCTAGTTCAAAAATACAACAAAACCAAAACTTAAAATAATTCACTTATTCATGGATTTCTTCATAACTCCTATTTTTCCCCAGTGGGATTTGTTCCTGTTCAAGGTTTGTACTTACAGTTTTTATTAACCTCATCTACTTAATGTTAATAACATTTTATATAATATGGTTAACTCTAGTGTAAAATGTACTGAGACATTATAGGAAATGGATCAAACCTATTTTGATAGAATTTGTTGGGAGAAATACCATGGAATTCAGTCCTAAAGAGTTTTTCATCCCTTATCCCATAAGAATTTTATGAAGGATAGGTATGTGCTGGGCCTCCACCAGGGCTTTGGGCTGATTTCATCTCTTTCAGCTTGGATTCGTGGTATGATTTGGCAGTTTTCCCCTTGGTATATGTAAAATCATTACACTTTTATAGTGAGATAAAAATACTTTGTGGCATGAAGCTAATAAAAAACTGCCTTCAGTCTTTCCCAGCCTGGAGTCACATTTCAAAACTGGAATTTTTCATATTGCTAATAGAGGAGGTATTTGTATAATCTGAAATTACTAAAGTAGATAACGTTATAGTTAAAATTTTTTAGCTATAGGTGAATTCAGGGTGTGTATCATTACTGAAATTATTTTACATAAAAACAACCATTATATTATAGTTCATTTGGTATTTCAGTAACTGTGAGGATTTTGGGCCAACTTCAGAGTTGGAACAGTCCCAAAAGACCCCCCCCTTACATCTGACACCAATTGTAGGTTCGGGTGTTTCCCCAAAACTCCCTCAGTTTCTTTAACTTACAAGGTCTCACAGAACTCACTGAAAGCTGTTCTTAGAGTTACAGTTAATTACACGGAAAGGGTACAGATGAAAATCAGCCAAGAGAAGAAGCACATAGGGCAGAGTTCAAGAGAAGTACGAAATGCATTGGGTGAAGATGCATTCATGTGTAGCAGTAGCATGGTGTATTGTCAGCCGAGGAAACACGCTTGAGCTTTTGGTTTCCAGAGTTTTGGGGGAGAGTCTCAGCATATTGCCTGCATGACTGACCATTAGTCTCTAGCCCTTCCCAGAGGTTGGGATGATACCTTTAGTTTCCAGTCCCTTTCAGAAGTAAAACTGATACCACATGTCTCATATAAATTACATCCCTCATAAATCACATTGTTAGACTGCTTGGTGACTAAGCCCCCAGGCAAACAAAGACACTCCTATCAGGCATGATATTCCAGGAGCCTAGGGATCACCTCACTGTAGCTGAGGATAAAGGCCAGACCCTGTCTTTGGGTAACATTGGTTCTTCACTATAAAGACCACCCACTGGCCTTTAGTCAGGGCTTTCTTACAGCAAAATCACATTGTCTGGGCAATCTACATTTAGTATAGCAATTTATATGATGGACACAGCAATAATATCAGTGTAAACATGCCTGTTACTTGGATGAGGCAGCTTGAACTATGTGTTTGAAGAGTTGTGTTAACTTTTTGGAATATGAAATTGGATTTATCAGAGAAGAGTCAAGTGAATAAGTATAAATTTTTGAAACAAGTTGATTTCAATGAAGACAGGAAGGAATGCCTAGATGACATAACAGTACATGAATACATTTTAAAGTAATTTTATATTGCTACAGTAATTCTCAAATATATTTGAGAATTATTTGAAGAAACTCCAGAAGAATCCAGTTTGTTATATCCACATTTTCTATTCCAGGCATAATATTTATAATAATCATACTTTGGTACTGATGGTGTGGTGAAGTCAGTATTAAAGTAAAAATGGCCCACAGAATATTGCCCTTTTCAATACGCTCATTGTTTTGGAATGCTTTTTTATTCCTAATGTTATAAATAAAAAATGTATCATTATAAATTTTAATTTTGACTGAGAGTTTTAAAATAATACTGTTCCTTTTAAGCCAAATGTAATTCACTTTTGCTTGGGGACAAGGAAAATTATTGACTTTAGGAACTTTAATGATAATTGGTATGATTCATATTCAAGTTAGGAAAAAACTTGAATAATGTTTTTACATTGATAGTGTAGAGATTTTATCTCTTCTAAACATTTCTCTTTCTCTGTTTTCATTGATTGTCAAGGTTAGAATTAATGTTTTGCCTGAATTTCCCTTCCACTCCTTTTATTGACAATACTTGGTATCTGGTTGGCTGGCTGCTACCTTATTTGCAAGATGTCACTGACCCAGAGTGGTTCTGAATGCCAGATGTTATTTTGCTTCTTATATCAGGAAGTGCAGTTCTGCTGGCCTGTTGTTCTGTTTATCCATTGCTGTGGAACGTGTTTTCCAGAAGCAGGCACAGAGACAGACTGTGTAATGCAAGATGTGTTAATACCTGTGGAAGGGTGTTGGCAGAAGCAGGATTAGGCAGAGGGAGAAGTCAGATTGCACCGCAGGCCAAACCTTAGCCAGCCCTACTAGGTGTTCTGGAGAGTTTGTGGCCCATCAGGTCAGTTCGTCAAAATGGCCAAGTCTTTGTATTTCTGTATGTCATTTAATCGATATGGGCTGCCCAAGAAAGGCAGGCCTTCTGGTGAAGAGGCTCTTTGCAACTTTGAATGAGCTGACAGTTGGGAGCTGTCTGCTGACAATGGGAGCAATGCCCTCCATTGAAGGAGAAGACAGCACATCTCTGTAGACCCTGAAATATAGTGACTAATATAAAACAACAGTCACTTTTTACTCATGAGCCTGCAGTTTGGGCAGGGATAGGCAGGGACTGGTGTGTCTCTGCTATTTGGCATGTGTTGTAGTGACACCTGAGGTTGGAAGATGGACTGTCAAGATGACTCACTCACATGGGTAGTATGGCTCATCAGCTTTGAGTTCAGCCAGGGATATAGGCCTAGGGCCTTTGTTCTTTTCACATGGGCCTCTCCAGGGCTGTTTGAGTTTCTTAAAGTGCTGACTAGGTTCCATGAGCAAGTGTACTGACAATATGTAAGTGTAAACATCTTTCTACCTAGTGTATATTTGGGATCTCTTTCCATCCTGTACTACAGTGAGAACATTCTTATAATGAAGAGCATTCTTTACTCAGATGATGGATGTTGGTCAGCATCCACACCTCCCCCGACATTTGTGGGGATTTGAATCTGGAGTCTCTGTTTCACTTTGCCCACACTTCAGAAACCTGGAGTGCAAAGAGAACCAGAGCTATCTCTGTATAGGTTAGGTCCAGTTCAAGTCATATTTTGTATCCTTTCTCCCAGACATTTTTCTTTTGGCCACTATGGAATTAGATTTAGATGAAAATAATAATCTGGAAGGAAAAAGGAAGCTACAAAAGGTCAAGCTGTAGTCTTTGGTTGGAAAAGAAGGAAGGGATGTGTTTTCTTTGTTTGAGGTGATAAAGTGCATGGACTTATATAAATTTTAGGCCTACGTTTGCCTAGTAATTCAGGTCATATTTAGCATCAGCTAGATGGAAAGTCATCATTTCCTCCTCCCTATGAGTACTTTAAGTTCTACCTCATATCAGTGTTATACTTTGTTCCCAAAACAGAAATAAAATATTTTCAGACCCAACAGGTGACTAGAGGGCTAACTCATATCCTCCTGAGGTCTTATTAATTCCGAAGAGCAGGGGAGTTTTCATCTGCTCTTAACCATTTTAGGAACAGAGAGACTTCTTTTTCAGCCATGGAATAGGCTGCGTGAGATGTGCAGTGAGTCAGAAGGCAACATATTACGTGTATGAAATGTATAATTGTATTTCCTGTTGGACAAGCAGAGACCAATTAGTGTTATCATTATAACATTGTTGTGTTTATCTGTGATCTTGATATCCATTAATTAACTGTTTTGACTGAAAAATATTACTGCAGATGATCATAGTGGCTTAGTCAAAATATTTTCATATTCTTGGATTAAATGACTCAGACATTATACACATGTATTTTTGGTTTTTAATTAATTTTAATCAAGCAATACTGCATATAATTAAAACTCAATTAGTATAAAGATTATATTGAAAAATAGTCCCCCTCCATACCTCTTAATGCCTGCTTTCCAAAGGCAGGCACATCTCCTTTAAGCTATTTTTTCCTGTTATTTAGCCCAATATCTTTAATATCCTGATATTTAATGCTGATATTTCTTGCTATAAATTTTAGACATATAATGTTTGCATTTTAAAATTGATTATTTTTTATTAAGAACAGTTGTTAAATTTAGTAAATAGTTTTTCTTTTTTTAAAAAAATATATCTTTATTGATTTCAGAGAGAGGAAAGGAGAGGGAGAGACAGACAGACAGAAACATCAGTGATGAGAGAGTCATTGATCGGCTGCAGCCCGCAACCCAGGCATGTGCCCTGACCAGGAATTGAACCCGGATCTCCTGGATCCTAGGTCAATGCTCAACCGCTGAGCCACGCCCGGCCGGGCCAAATTTAGTAAATAGTTTTTCAATAAAACAGGAATAGATGTGTGCTTCCTTAACATGCTGTATGTGTATCTCATCCCTTAGAAGTCAAACATGCTTATTTAATTGGTAACATTGCTAAAGTCAGGACACAACAAAGATGTCCATTGTCACCAATAATATTTTACATTGTACTGAAGATACTAGCCAAACAGTTAGGCAAAAAAACACACATTAGAAGTATAAAAATAGTAAAATTATCACATTTATAGATGAAATATTATACATGGAAAATCAAAGAGAATTAACCTAAAAGCTACAAATGGTAAAATAGTTCAAAAAGGATATCAATAGCTTTTGTAGTCTAATTCATGGAGTAAATATTTACTGCATCCGGTTGTGGCTCAGGCTCTTTTCCAGGTGCTGAGAGTCCAGTAGTGAAAAAAACTGGCAAAAAATCCTGTTTTTCTGAAGTAGTTTCTAATCTAGCAACAATCAATAATTATAAAAAGATACAGAAGAAAAGATTCCATAATATGTTAAAAATACGGACTGCTTAGGGATATATTTATTAAGAAATGTATAACTAACTATACAGTGAGGAAGACTGTCCCTATTAGATATTAAAATATGTGTTTAATAATTATTTCTACTGTCTGAAAAGATAAACTAATGGAACAGAATTGAAAGTCTTTTAATAGACCCAAATACCTATAAGTAAGTACTAACATGTGATTAAGGTTATATCTCAAGTCAGGTTAAATAAATGGTGTGAGGGAAAAATAAAATTAGATCATACCTTTCATGGTATCCCAGGAAGAATTTCAGATGTATTAAACATTGATACATAAAAAAATTAAAGTGTTCCCATGAAATGAAACATGGGAGAATTCCTTTGCAATTTCAATGAGGACATAGTATTTCTAATTGAGTTAAAATTCACAAAAGCATAAAAGAAGACATTGATAAATTCAGTACACACACAAAAGAGTGCATGGGAGGAAAAGTCTATAAACAAACTAAAAAACCAAATGTTCACTGGAATAAAAAGATTTGCAACTCATATAATGGGCAGAGGGACAGTCTTCCTAATATAGAAAGTATTCCTGAAACTCTACAGGAAAAATATCGCAGTGTAATAGAAAAATGGGCAAAGGGCATTCCACAGAAACTAATGTAAAAGCTACTAAATATATGAAAAGGTGGTCTCACTGATAATACAGAAAAATCAAATATTTTTACTACTATTTTTCACTTATAAGATTGACACAAAGTCAAAATACTTGACAAACTACTCTAATATGAAGCTTTAAGGGTACCGAGCACTCAGACATGATGCTCATGGGACTGTAAATTAGTTCAGCTACAGTAAAAGGCAATTTGGGTATGAAAGTATTCCATATAAAAATTAAAATTAATGAACTAGAGCAAAATGTATCAACATAAATAAATTTTAAACATAGTAGAATAAAACCAAGTTGCAAAACACTACACACAGTTTGGTATCAGTCACAAAGCTTAAAGACATTCAGAAAAATACAGTCTTATGGTTGCATCTGTATATACTAATAATAAAATGTATGAATGGACAGTGGTCTGGATTTGGCCCATGGGTCATAATTTGACAACCTGTGATCTATGACATACAGAAATTACTTGAGTAGTTAAAGTGGTACTAATATTATCCCCCTATTACAGGTGGGAAAATTGAGGTCTAGAGACCTTAAGTGGAATCATTTAGGTTAATTAAAATAACCTTACCATACTCCCATTAATCACATGGCAATAGCATTTTTTTACATATATAATACTTAATGTTCTTTTTCTTTCTATAAAAGCAGAGTGAACTGTGAGGGTCTAATCTCATGGTTTTCACAATTAAAATATTGAGAGTATGTTTAGAAACTGCATTACTGGGTCTTCTTTACACAATCATTTTATGTATGATTTTCCCAAGGTTTGTAATATGTTTTATTGTTCAAATGGAAAAACAAATACAAAAACTGGTATGATTTATTTTGTTATTAGTTAGATTTGGATGTCTTACAAGCTACTGACTTGACATCAATAGATAGCTTATATAATATAGATCACCATTAAGCAGTTGTTTCATGTCATTTTCCAAAATCAGTTTTATGCAGCAATTTCTTTGTTTTGTCATGACCTAAAGTAATTGAGAATTTATCTGCATTTACATTCAGGGTCTAGGAAGTATATTTTTCCCTGTTTAATTTCATGGCCTAGAAGTTAGTATTATTGGTAGGTATCAAATAAGTATGGTCTTCTCTGTGTGCAGAAAGTAGGACTACCACAGTCATGTTAGAATATGTGCAAATTTAAAGGTAGGACCATAAGATCTTTTATTTATTTAACCCCAATGAAAATTACCATAGTACTTTTTATCTCCAGAACACTGAAATGACCTGTGTTAAAGAAAGTTCTAATATGAACCGGAGCCAGGATTTGAACCCATAAAATAGTCAAATAGATGTTCTTAGAGTATTAATTTTAAAATAATTTAAGATTTTAGACAAAAAGGTTCTTACCAAGTATCTGATTATGTTTATCCTTCTAAACTAAAAACGGAATGTTGTGTGTTTTTTTTTCAGAGACATCAAACCTGACAATATATTGATGGATATGAATGGACATATTCGGTTAGCAGATTTTGGTTCTTGTCTGAAACTGATGGAAGATGGAACAGTAAGTAAAGATAAATTTTAAATTATTTTACCCACAGTCATTTTTCTTGCTACTGGTCTTCTTTATCTGTTTAGAAACCATCTTTATTATCCATCCATTCATCCATTCGTCTTTCTATGCTTTACCTTCTTCCACAGAGGCATTTAGGCATACTTATTCATAATACAGCTTGTTTATAAAATCATATGCTATTTTAAGTATTTATATTAATGACCTGAAGGTGGTTACAGTATGCCTTTTATGAGACCCTTGTTTTTTCCTTTTTTAGCTGAACCGTTTATTATTGTACTCGAGATATTTTTATATTTCCAGATTGGTAAAGAAAATAAATCCTACATGGAAAAAGAAAATGCAGCTTCTTTGCTTTTATTTATTTTTTATCTTTCTTTTCTAGTTGATTTTCCTAAGGGACTATGTTAAAAAATGAATGCTTTTATCAGGAAGTCCTCTAGGTTGATTTAGTTTCATATTACCGTTTGCTTTAGTTCTGCTAACTCTGGGCCCCTCAATTGTTTTCTTTCGCTTACTTAAAAGTTTATATGCCCCAATTTTATTCTCTGGTTTGTTTTGGTTTTGGTTTTTACTTCAGTTTCCTGACTATATAGCAGAGGTCCAAATACATATCATTTTAATTGGCAGAAACGTTTTTAGAGAGCAGTTTAGTAAAATAGATTCTAAAGACCATGAAAATGTCGTATTATTTTGGACTAGTAATTTGACTTCTGAAAATTTATCCTAAGAAGGTGACTTTTTAAAAAAATTCTCACCCAATGATATGTTTATGATTAGAGAGAGAGAGAGAAACATTGATAGATTGCCTCCTGTGTGGGCCCTGACCAGGAATTGAACCTGCAACCTAGGTATGTGCCCTGACTGGGAATCAAACCCATAACCTTTTGGTGCACAGGATGACACTCCAACTAACTGAGCCACCTGGCAAAGGCAGGAGGTAACTTTTAAAAAAAGATTATATGATTTCTGCCTCTGGCCATGAGGAAGGGAGTAATTGGTACCAAATTGTCCTCTCACTTATAAACAGCAGTAAAACTGGACACAATATTGGAGACAGCTGTTTTAGGCAGTGGACAGCAGATAGCATGACTGTTACTTCTGAGAGAAATTAATTTGTGATGTGTGCCACAGTTTCCCAGGATTGGGACAGTTTGTTATTTCTGATGCAGAAAGCTAGAGTTAGAGCAGAGTATAGTAGTCCTACAGAGCTAAGGGGAAATAGGTCAGAATTAAGTTTAGCTAGGGTGCTTGGATTCTGTAGGACTTTACATTGGAGAGAAAGGAGTTGAATAGAGAAAGGGCCTGAAGTATCCATAGGAGGTTACCTCATGAAGGTTGAGCTTTGCATATGTAGTATAAGACCGTATGAGACTTACCAAATAATAGATACTATCCATTTGAAAATTGAACTGATTACTGGAAATCAAGCAGTGCTAGGGGAGAAAAAGTGCTAAGGAGACACTGGAATTTTGGCCCAGGAGAGCTAGTTAACACTTCTCATAACGTGTGAGATTTACCCTAAACCTGTCTTAACAGCCTAAATCCAAGTCATTATAAGAGTTTGAAAGTGGTCCTCCAAAAAAATGGCCTTAAATCATAGACTTTTTGTATATCCGCCCTCAGAGTATAACCGTAATCCAACTCATGTTCAAGAAGATAAGTATTTTTATTTATCTGCTTAAATAAGAATTAATATTCTTTAGAGGAAGATAACACTGTAAATGAACTCCAGGGGGAAAAGCTAGTATTTCCCCAGTCCTGCGTGTTATAACCCCCTTGGACTCAAAGCTAGGCTCCTCTCCTAGAGTCTAATATCCAGTCTTCCAAATCCCCGTGCATTCCACAATGCAGTTAGTACTATTTCTGTCTACATGGGTTTCCCCTGGTCATATTTATGCCTGAAATCCTGGTGTGTCTTCCTAGTCATTCATTTTTCATTGATCTCAAAATAAGTTTCCTGGGCATAATAGCATATTGGTCTTCCGTTTAGAAATTATAATGAAGAAACATTTATACTTGTTTTATTTCCATTTTCTTTTCAAAAGTGATCTATACATATGTTAGGAAGACATCACAAAAAGACAGTGTTCCTTTGTTCTAGTTCTTCCTACTTCCAAATCTCTTTTTCTAAAGGCAGACACTTAAAATCCTTTGGCTCTTCTGTTGTTTCATTTACTTACATAGTTCTTGTTATTTAGTTTTAGATATTATCTGTTTCTACCATGGAAGGTAAGGATTCAGGTCTCTTACCCCCATCTCACCCAACCCATTCACTTCTCTCTGTTGTCCCGGTGCAGTTATCGTACAATCTTTCATTATATCCTCGTCAGTTTTTTATAAAACAAATATTATTCATAGCTGTGCCATGCAGTTTATTTTAATTACACTTTTTTTCTTGAAAACTTTTTATTCTCCTTGTAGTAACTACTTTATTTTGCTTAGTTTTCTGACTCCCACCTGTATATCCCAGAACTCTCCATCACACATTAAGTAATTCAGCAATTCCTCTCTCTCAGACACATGAAATAACTTAGTTGTTCCTTTCATCCATTGGAAATATCCATACTGGAGTCTTGCATTCTCCCATTCTAATCTAGAGTGTTCTGCAGGCTGACTGCAGAACTATATTATCTTAGGACTTTCCTCATCATCATGGAATTCACCATGTTGCTCTCTAATACTGGATTCTCTTTCCTGGATCCCGCGTCTCCTCATTAGGTGGTAGCTGCCTGAGAAAGGTTCCATTGGAAGTAAATATTTCATAATTTTACATGTCTGAAAATGGCTTCATTTCTACCCTCATATTTGGTTGATAATTTGTCAGGACCTGATATTATAGGTTTGAAATTATTTTTTTTCGTAGAATTTGGAAAGCATTGCATTGTCTTCTGATTTACTGTTGAGATATCTGATGCTATTCTAATATCCGATCCTTCTGTTAAAACCTTCGCCCCCCCTACTCTGGAAGCTTTTAGGATGTTCTCATTATCCTCAGAGTTCTGAAATGTTATGATTATAGGGCTTTGTATGGGTCATTATTACCAGGACAGCAACCACATTTTAACCTTTTCCAAATTTTCTGACTTTCCAAATCAAGTTTTAGCTTGCATTTTGGCTTTCACATCTGAGTTAAAACTGTACCATCTTAATCACTATATGTTTGTAAGAAGTCAGTTTCGGGGACAGGGGTGGGGCGGGGATTCTATAGTTTTTTTTCTTCCTTTAAAATTGTCTTGGCTATTCTTGGCCATTTGTTTTTTCATATGATTGTTAGGATTATATTATTGGTTTGTATACATACATATACACATATACAAATACACTTTCACAAACACAAGCTTGTAGACTTGCACTGAATTTAGAGATTTAAATTTCCAGATATTTTCTGGAAATTTATGTCTATAATATGGAATTTTGCCATCCATGAATATGGCGTCTCCATTGCTTTAGATTTTCTTCTTATGTCTGTTAGTGATGTTTTAAAATAATATTCACTATAAATTCGTTACCTTTAAATAATATTAGATTTATTCTTAGGCACCTTGTGGATTTTTTTTGGAGGGGGTTATTATAAACAACTTTTCAAAATGCAGTTTGGTAGCTTATTGCTGTTCTTTAGGACCACAGCTGATTTTTGTATATGTATCTTGAAACTATCAAGATTGCTAAATATTTTAATTAGTTCTAAATAATTTGTAGATTTTTCTAGATTTTCTACATAGACAACTATATAACCCACAAATAATGACCAGCTTTGGTTTTTGTTCTTTCCAAACTTTATGCTATTTTTTTTCTCTTACCATGCAGTCAGTGATCTTCAGTACAATATTAAATAGGAGTGGTAATAGGGAGCTTCTCTGCCTTATCCCTGATTTTAATGGTTTTTTTTCTGTAGTTTCAAATTAAGTATAATGTTTGCTGAAAGCTTTTGGAATATATTCTGTATTGGATCAAGGAAATTTCTATTTCTGAATACTGTTTGTTGTTAGGGTTGTTATTGTAATCAAATGAGTTTTCTACATCCACTGACATGATATTAGGATGTTTTTTCTTTAATCTGTTAATCTGATGAATGACATAGATTGTCCAGATTAAATCATTCATTCTTTGGATCAACAGAATTTTATCTTGAAGTTGTATTGATATATCTGAACAAATTGCTGAATCTATTCAGATCAACTCTGCTAAAACTTTATATTAGATTGTTACCTGAGATTCATACCTGAGATTCATAATATTTGATATTGCAGTATAATTTTCCTTCTCAAGTTTATTTTTTGTCTGATTTTTATTTTTAGGTTATTCGAGCCTTATCAAATGAACCAGGAGAGCCATATCTCCTCCCCTTACCTGTTTTGACTCTAGAATAGTTTATATAATACAGGGCTTATCTGTTTCTTATATAATTGGTACAGTTCACATTTAAATCATCCTTGCCTTGGTGAAGTTTTGTTTTCTTCTGTTTGTTTTCCAGGTAGATTTTATACTTTTTTTTTTTTAATTTTTTTTATTTTATACTGTTGATTCAAATTTTTTAAGGGTTATAGGTCTCTTTGGTTTTCTATTTCTTCCTGAGTCAGTTTTGGTAAGTTATATATTTTTTTCTATCAACATGGTCTGATGTCAGTGAGTTGTCAGTTTTATTGGTATAAAGTTGTTTAGGTTGCGCTCTTCCTAGTTTTAAAATCTGTTATTTGTGTAGTTTTGTCCTTTTTTGTTCCTAATGCTGTTTCATTCCTGATGCTTGTGCTTTTCCTTCGTAAGCTTTGATAATAGAGCATTTTACTATTTTTTTTTGTATTTTCCAATTTTAGTTAGAACTTTTCTGTGGACCATTAATTATTTAGATGTATGCCTTTTAATATACAAAATATTGTATTTGCTTATTTATTTGCTTATTTCTAGTTTTATTTTAATGGAAAATGTGCCTATTTGATACCAGTTTTCTGGCGTTTGTCAAGATTTGCTCTTCTGTTAGCTCAATTTTTATATGTGTTACATGTTTGTTGAAAAGAATACTTTTTTCCTGACTTCTGCCCTCCAGAATAGTTTTGAATTTGTTATGCCAGGCTTTCTGAGGCACCTAACCTGGTGCCAATATTTTTGCCAGTTTCTTGGCTTGAGAACTTTTGGACCACATAAGCACTGTGAATTAAAATCCCAAATGGTGGGACTATGTGACCTAAAGTTATGGATTTCTAGAGGAGGATGTTTTCTTCACATATCAGCTTTCTCTGCTGAATGGCAGATTTTTTGAAATTCAGCTTTTTGTTTACGGTGGACCCTACGGTAAAGGTTATATGGGGCAGCCTCTCACTTCAAACCTCATGTGAGCTCAAGGCCTTTCCTTTGTCCTCCTGTTAAAATCCAAGTACCTAGAAAATGAAAACTAAAAATTCCCCAACCTCACCCCTGCTTTAATGCTTACCACCCCAGGTTCTCATTCATTTCTTAATTACTGGCCCCAGAGAGTTGTGGCTTTTTTTCAAAAGCTCATTTATATGTTTATAAAAAATGGTTGTATTTTATCTAGTATTTTTCAGAGTTTGGAATGGATGAGTTTTCAAATTACTTAATCTCAGTATTGCCAAAGAGGAAGTATGCTCTAATGATGATTAAGAATAGTAATTTAGCATGGATCAGACTGACGGATCTCAGAGGGAAGGAGGGGGTTGGTGGGGAGAGATTAACCAACGAATTTATGTGCATATATGCACAACCCAAGGACACAGGCAGTGGTGTGGAGACAGACTAGGGAGGAGGGTGGGGCAGGGTGGAAGGGGTCAATGGGGAGAAAAAGGGACATCTGTAATATTTTGAACAATAAAAAAAAAAAAAAGAATAGTAATTTAGTCCAGAAAATTCAAAATAACTATTATTCTACCTTGAGAATGTTAATTTTTTGATATGTTCATTTAAATCATATAAGGAACCAATTTTCTTTTACTTTAGAGTGTCTTACAAAACTTGTTTCCAGGATCTTTGTTAGCTATCATTTTCTAATTTACATCAAACTTGCCCTAATTATATGACCAGCTATTTTTCTCTATTGGGACTTTATGTTTTGAAGGATATATTTTTCCTCCTTTATAATTTTTTAAATTAATAAGTAGTTTTCAGGACATTGTTATCATTTATTTCATTAGGTTTCCATTAAGGTGTTTAAAAATAATCTCCAGATTGCCAAGTTCTTTCAGGGGTTTCCCCCTATAACTGTAAAATTTTCACAGTTCGAGTTTTTTATACGTACATGTTAGGCAGATTATCAATGAGAAGGTTGTAACAGTATCTGATGGAACAAAGGCAGATAGCTATAGGTACATATGAATCAATTGTGCATTACTTTCAGTGCAGAAAATACCAGTTAAAAAAAAGAATGTTCGAAACTACTTGATTTTCTGGCCATGGTATTTAAATCATATTGTTACCCTAAATGTGTCAATTAAGTCACAGTTATAATAAAGGTTCTATAGTGTTACGATATCTGGAGAACTGTTAGTGTGGAGATTATGTAAAATTTAATTTATATGTACAAGGAAGCTAAATTCAGATAATGACAAATTTGTAGTTAGGAGATACTATTGTGTAAGTACATGTAAATATTTTAAATTTAAAACTATTTGTTTCTAGTATATTTTAGTAGATTACTAAAACTCTGAACTTCCTCAGGTCCAGTCCTCAGTGGCTGTTGGAACTCCAGATTATATCTCTCCTGAAATCCTTCAAGCCATGGAAGATGGAAAAGGCAGATACGGACCTGAGTGTGACTGGTGGTCTTTGGGGGTCTGTATGTATGAAATGCTTTACGGAGAAACACCATTTTATGCAGAATCTCTGGTGGAGACCTATGGAAAAATCATGAATCACAAAGTTAGTATACTTTACTGTTTTTCAAATTAATGTGGTAAATAATACATATAATAAATTTAATGTGATATTTGAAAAGAAATTTTTTTGTAAAAACAGTATGCAATCTAATTTCTATGCTAATAGAGGACATGACAAACATGAATAGTAAAAGTCCATTAATTATAAATAAAATTATTGTTTCTAACCGGCTATATTTTATTAGAGGAGAAGGTATTAAGTAGGAAATTATATGGTTTCTGGTAGAATAAAGGTCATAAGCAGATAGTTTTTAATCATTACTATTACAGTATAATCATGACTAGAATGAACTTATAAAATCTCAGCCTTCGTAGTGATAAGTGAGATTCAAATTAAAAAAAGAATGAGATACTTTTTCCTGTCAAATTGATAAAGATGAAAAAAAAAAAGTTCTTGGTACTGTAAATAATTCTGTGAGATGGACATTACTGATAGGAACACAAATCGATGTAACCTTTCTGTCAAGAAGATTATAAGTATGTATCTGGAGTCCTTAAAAAGTGGTTGGAACTTTTGATTGAGCAACTTAAGCTGCAGGAATCTACCCTAAGGAAATCTTCAGTAGAACAAAGATGTATGTACCAGAAAACCTATTCCAGTATTGTTTACAATCACAAAATATTAAGAACTATCTAGATGTACAACAGGAACAAATTAATAAAACTTTAATCCACTCAGTACCAAGTGAAATGGAAATAGCTTGTTCATAGTAAGAAAAGGAAGGTTTCGTTCATAATGAGAAAAGGAAAAGGTTTTGATTGATCAGTCTCAGAAAATTGTGAGCAATTGCAAAAACCTGGAATGTGACTAGAAGCCCATAGTGACAATCTGTTCTTTTTAATTTGTTCTACTGACACATTTATGATTACTTCCTTCCCACATATATAAATCACTTTTATAGAATTTATGTTCTTCTACCTCACTGCAAAGATAATCTGGTAAATAGTGATGAAGAGTTGAAAGACAGTAAATAGCTACAAAGTTGTAGAAAGCATGAAAACATTTCAGAGAGAAGTCATTGTACTATAACATGATTGTTAAAGAGCACAGAAGCTGGAATCGGACAGCTTCAGTCCAAGTCCCAGCTCTACCATTTACTAGTATGAGGCCTTGACTGAATTGCTTGAGCTCTGTGCCCTTGTTTCCTCTTCTAGAAAAATTAGGATAATAGTAGTACCTACCTTAGATGATTGCTGTGAGGATTAAATGAGTAAAGCACTTCCTGTAGTGTCAAGTACATATTACATTCTTTAAAAATGTTTATTATTATTATTTAATTATTAGTATGTGGCATATATGAACCATCTACTCTTGAAATATAGAAGCAAATTCTATTTTTAATGAATTCTCTTGATTCTGACAGCAGTTTAAGTTACTTTAGCATTTAATTTATTCTTACTACAGTGTATGTATGACTAAGTCACGTAAGAAATTAAAAGTTCTTTAGGAAGACATTCTTTTCTCATTCCTGTATTTCTTTCAGTGTCTGTATTTTGTATCAGTATACATTTATTAGGTATATTTAAAGGAAAATGTATCTTCAAGAAAATAAATGTTAATCTACTTGTTAAGTTAAAGACTGATTTATTTATTTTTTTCTGTGTTTAGGAGAGGTTTCAGTTTCCAGCTCAAGTGACAGATGTGTCTGAAAATGCTAAGGACCTTATTCGAAGGCTCATTTGTAGCAGAGAACATCGACTTGGTCAAAATGGAATAGAAGACTTTAAGAAACACCCATTTTTCAGTGGAATTGATTGGGATAATATTCGAAACTGTGAAGCACCTTATATTCCAGAAGTTAGTAGCCCAACAGATACATCAAATTTTGATGTGGATGATGATTGTTTAAAGAATTCTGTGAGTATGACATTGTGAAGAAGTTCTGTCACCTTTTCTTTTTAATATGCTTATAAAGTAATTTTTTGGACCACCTTATCAGTGATCAGTCAGCCAGTTGTGGCTTCTAGTATTGACTCACAAATTCAAGAAATTAAGAGGGTTGAGGTGAACATAGTTACTCATGACTGGGAGCAAAATTAAAATTCAAAGGATTACTCCCTAGATTAGTTACGCCATTAGTTTTCCTAAGAAAGGGACAAATTAGGTGCTTTAAAAAGTGGACTTCATGATGACAGAGTGAAGAGGCTGGCACATCTCTCCTTAAAAACCACATGAAACTAGACAAACTTGTTAGAAACAACCATTTTGAGGCTTGACAAATTAACCCAAGGTAAATAAATTGAGAAGCATCTATTCATGAAAAACCACTGAACTTGGTTAAAAACAGCTCCCTCCCATTTCCCTTAGGTTTGGGTGGGGCAGTAGAACTGCTAGCATGGAGCTGCTTATAAACCCAGCAGCTTTGCAGCCAGAGGGGCTGCCTTGATTTGGAGAGCTAAACACCCATGCCCACGGGTATTGCCACTAGAAACAGCAACCTTGGTAGGAAATGAATGGGCAAAAAAAATCTGCAGGCTTACTAGCCTGAAGTTGTAGCCCTGTTTGAGGTGAGTGGCAGACTAGCAGGTTAGCCAAATGTTCAACCATTTTTGGCTCATAGGCAATACTAAAACAGGCCAGCAGAGTTTGTCAGCTTCTGCCCTAAACCATTAGGTTATGTCAAATTGGAATTTAGAAAAATAAGAACATAAAATTTTTGGTTTTTGCCTTTTAGTCTTCCTAATTTGACTTGTCATTTTAAATCAATTATTTTATTTCTTATGATTTAATTCTGCACTGACTTTTTATATTAATTTTATATCACTTTTCATTGTTTAGTAAGTGCCATATTCAAGGTAGATAAGAGAAAGATAAGCACCATATGATTTCACTTACACATGGAATCTGATAAACAAAATAAACTAGCAAGATAGAAACAGGCTCATAGATAAAGAGAACAGGCTAACAGTTGTCAAAAAGGAGGGAGGGAGGAGGTTGGGGGGGCTGGCTGAAAAAGGTGAAGGGAATAAGCAAAAAAAAAAACCCCAAACTCAGACAACGGTATGGTGATTAGCCAGAGGTGGAAAGGGGGGTGGGGGAGGTAGGAGAGGGTAAAGGGGGGATCAGTGGTTGATGGAAGGAGATTTGACTTGGGATAGTGAACACACAATACAATATATAGGTGATATATTATATGATTGTACACCTGAAACCTGTATAATTTTATTAACCAATGTCACTCCAATAAATTCAATTTAAAAAGAAACGTCTCTTATATTTCCCTCTGTGAACCTCACAAAAAAGAATTAATTAAACTTTCCTCATCAGTGTTTTATTATAGGAATTATATTTACTGCTAACATAAATTGTGAGTCATTCCAAATTAAATACATAGTACAGTCAATTCTGATTACTTATGGTAGTTATGTTCAATAAAGTTGCCGTGAACACTGTATTAGTGAATGTTGAACGGTTGCCCCTTAAGGCAAAGTAGGGTTAGGTTCCTGTGAGCCTATGGTCAAGACATTTTTATCAACCCATCAATACCTAACTTTGTTTTGTGTGTGTTTCTGTTTAAATATTGTTGATTGATTAACATTGGACCTCACTGCCAACAGCACTGTAACTCATGCCTGAACGAAGCTTATCTGACAAGTTTTTTTGTAAGGCACATCACAGCCTTCTTGCTTAGAAACAAAAGATGGCACTTGGAGGCCACTTTAACAGCAAAATCACCCATAAAAAGCATGAAAATGTGAAAAGCATGGTGCACTTAGACTCTGAAAGAACACTTGTTTCATGAGAAATGAAACAAGAAGGCAGAGCGCCCCCTTGTTCAATTCTAGCTGGAAACGTGTACGTAGGGCAACTTGGATTTTTCTTTGCTCTGTACATGTCTGCTAAAGAGCTGTGAATATTGATTTTGGGTTACAAATAAATTTTAGTGACCAGGCAAATTTGCAAATATGGACTACATGAAAAATGACTGTACTCAGTATCAGTCAGACTTTTCATCTTTTATCTTCATTTTATTAGAAGTTTACAATAACAGTGGTTATGGTCTAAATATTACTAAACATCTGTGCCAAACTTATCAGTGTTTATAAATTGAACGGTCACACATTTCCTATTGACAGTTAATATTTATTACCCAACCTACAGGTCATAGTTATTTATTTCTTACCAGATGTTTTTACCTCTTGTAGGAAACAATGCCCCCACCAACACATACTGCATTTTCTGGCCACCATCTGCCTTTCGTTGGTTTTACCTATACTAGTAGCTGGTAAGTTTGAAGAGGTAACATAATTTGGACATTTTAAAGCAAATTAAAATGAATTGTGATTTAAAAATATATAAGGTATAAGAGAACTTTGTAAATCAAAAATTTTAAAATAGGTTGGAGCTACTACTGGAATAAGTTAGACATTTCAAAATGAATAGAAAAATAAAAAAATTATAACTCATTTTGGAGGAGAAAGAATAGGACAAATAGCTCAGAATCTAACTATTAACAGTGGGGCAAGAATTAGAGTTCCCTTGCTATTGAATAAATAATGGGGCAAGCATTAGAAGAGTTCCCTTGCTATGTGTTCAGAATCAGAATTTTCAACCCATTAATTTTAACCATCTCGTCACTGACTCTTACTCCATTCGTATCTTCTCTTCACTCCCTCCCTAGTTTAAATTTCTATGATGATAATTATAATCACTCCTTGTAAGTGCCCTCTCAATCCCTTGACTATCTCATTTTGTTGCACTGGTTTTGCTAAGTTGACATCATTACAATTCCATTTTCTGCCTGTACCTGTGCAGTTCAGTGTCTAGAAAAAAATCTGTTACCGTTCTTACTGGTCTCACTTTAAGGCCATGATTACCAACCTCAGGTGCCCCTTTTACTGCCCGGTAAATATGCCGTATTACCCCAGTGTATTCACTCTTCCACTCTCCTGGACATCTATTTCATATTGTATACTTCCCTCTGAGACCTCTGTCATGTTCATTCTCACCTAACAATCTCTCTTCCTTTTTCACTGTGAGGTTGAAGCAAACAGCAGAAAACTCATTACCACATTTACCACCCACATACCTCTGGACCCATATAATCCTTTTATGAACCGTGAGCCCCTTCCATCCCCTCTTGCCTGCTCCAGTACATTGCTTGCTGTTATAAGTTTTTCTTTTTCTGTGTCGTTTGCATAAGAAGATCATTTACGTCAACCCACAGACATGTAGTTTTTTCTCCCATCTTAAAGCAAAGTATAAAATCTCTCTTAATCCTACTTTCTTTACCTGCTACCAACCATTTCTCTGTTCCGCATTATAGCAAAATTACTTCCAACAATTGTCTGTATTTTGTCATTTTTTGCTCATTCTATTCTTTCTGACACCACTCCACTCTGTACTCCCATCATTTCATACAGACTGCTTTTATCCGTGTCACTACTGACCCCATGTTGCTAAATTTAATGATCATTCCTTGGGTTAGTCTCACTTATTTGCCCAGTTTCATCTTGTCATGATTCCTTCCATCAAAACAGGCTCTTCTCTTAGCTTCCAGGGCACTTGCCTGATTTCTCCTTACCTTTCTGGCCATTCCTTCTCAGTCCCACATCTGCTGCCCTCTAACCTCCCTTGTCTCGTGGCTTAGTCTTTGGATCTTTTCCATTTATACTCTTGGGTGCTCCCTCAGATACTTACTGAGGACTCCTAATGTGTATCCCAGTGGAGACCTCCCTGATCATCTACTTAAAGTCTCTCTTAACCATCTACTTCAGATGTTCATAACTTTCACTCTTACTTTCTCTGAACCTGTCTGAGTGATCTGCTAACAGATAAGTCAGAACATGTCATTCCCTGTTCAGGACCAAGCCCCACTGCCCCCACCTCTGGTTACTTTGTATCTTAACTTTAAACCAAAGTTCTTATAAGGCCCTACATGCCTGGTTCGCTTTGTTTGATTCTACTACTACTATTCCCGTTGCTCACTCTGCTCTAGCACACAGGTGTCCTTTCTGGCCCATGAACATGCCAGTCATACTCTTGTTTCAGGGCTTTTGCACTTCTGTTCCATCTGCCTGGAATGCTTCTCCCCATATTCCCAGAGTTCCCCCCTCTGAACTTCATTCCAAGTTACTTTCTGAGTGATCACTTTCCCTGACCTCTTTATCTAAATTTTTATTTCCTGCTTCTTAGTACTTCATTTCCCCTTTCCTGCTTTTGTTTTCTCCTTAGCATTTAACATCTAATGTACTGAATATTTTACTTATTTATCTTGTTTATTTTTGTCTCTGTCACTGGAATATAAACTCCACCTTGGGTAAGTTGTTTTGCTCACTGCTGAGTGTCCAGTACTTCAAATATTTTTATTTAGAGGATTGCATTAAAGCAAGCATTTCACTTTCAAATTACAAATTCCAGTAAAGAGGATCATGGTGGTTGCTTTTGACTACTAATTCACTTAGATGGTTACATTGTTTTAAACTACCAGTAACCCTGCAGCAAATTTCATTTTATAATTTTTGGTTATTAAAATAAATGCAGGGTAATTTGGGCAATTCAAGTTTTCATTTTTTAAAATGCTGCTAAAAATGTCATTTATGCCAATCTTGCAAAAGTGTTTTACAATCATTCTAGATGGCTAACTGTAACTAGATGTTCAAATCCATGTTTTAAATGGACAGTTTCAAAGGGTTATCATTGTTCTTCAAAACTTTGTTTCCGTGTAAAACCACTTTTTTTCTCTTCTCTTCAGTGTTCTTTCTGATCGGAGCTGTTTAAGAGTTACAGCAGCTCCCACGTCACTGGATCTTGATGTTAATGTTCAGAGGACTCTAGATAACAACTTAGCAACTGAAGCTTATGAAAGAAGAATTAAACGCCTTGAACAGGAGAAGCTTGAACTTAGTAGAAAGCTTCAAGGTATATATATTTTAAATATAATATTTTTCCTTTTTTAGTTGAACTCAGTGTTAGGAACTGATTATTATACGTGGTCGTTTTATCTGAAAAACTTTTTTAAGTAGGAAAAAATCAAGCTGTAGAAATCTATGCAGAATACAGTGTAATATTTATGTAAAGTCACAAAACTAACAGTAAACAAAATGGTATTTGTTTTCCACAGGTGTATGTGTGTATGTGTATAAATATATATGTGTGTGTATACACACACACTATAAAAATATGTAGGAATAAGTACCTCTGGGGAGAGGAAACTGGGACTAGTAGGAAGAAGGAACTCTTTTCAGCCTAGTAAAACACTTTATATTACTTTTCCTATTATATTTCCTCAGACCTTAAAAGTTCTAGCTCGTAGCAAACTGCCATTCACCTTTGATGATCTTATCTTCCACCGTATCTCATCCAGTCCTTCTCGTGGCAGTAAGAGTATCTTTCTTGAGATTACAGTATCTAAAATTCTTTATTAATTTCTATTTTAAGAAAACCTGACATAATCTCTTGCTTGTAATTTTCTATTTAACTCTCTGGTGCCTTAACTCCAATTCCCTTTAATTCCACCATCATCTACAGTTCTGTCACGGTTCCTCTTTACCCTCAGTTCTCATGCTGTGTCAGTGATAATCATATAGTGCTCCTCTTTCTGTTTGTCTGATGCTTTTGGCAGAACCCCAACCCTGCTTAAATACAACATCGCTTCTCTAACTGCAGCTGAAGGTGGCTTACTTAAAATACACAACATGCTGACGAATCCCACTTCAAGTTCATGAAAACTAATATCACATTGAGTCTTAATCTGCCCGGCAGTCCCACCTTTTCCTTAGCCCATTTCCCTACCCTCTGTTGCAAAATCCAGTGATCATTTCCCACTGCTTATCTTTTAACCCATCAGCCTTTGATCCACTTGACCACTTCCCCCTCCTAATAGCTCTTTCTGCTTTTGGCTTCTGGAGCACTTTAATCTTCGGGTTTTCTTTTTCCTCACAAACCAGTTATTCTTAGTCTCATTTGCTGATTACTCCTTAACTCTTTGACAACTAAATGTTAGAATGCTCCATGATTTTAGTTATTCAAAACTAAACCTTAGAGTTATCTTTAAACCCTCTCATTCTCTCACACCTCACATCTGATCTGTCAGCAAATCAGGTCAGCTCTGCCACCACAGTGGGCCCAGAATCTGATTATCACTCACTGGGGTGCTACCACGCTGTTTCAAATGATCTTCCGCTCACCTGTGTTATTGCAATAGCTTCTGAACTGATTTCCCTGCCTTACCTCCCCTCCCCCCCTTTCCTACATCTGTCTTCAACATAAGAGCCAAGTAATCCTGTTAAAAATACAGGTTAGATCATTTTATTTCACTGGCTCATCCCCAGCCCTAATGGCTTTCCATCTCACATTAACAGCCAAACTCATTTAATGTATGATCCAGATTATTACCTTTCTTGCTTCATGCCCTACTACTGTCTCCTTTGTTCTTTCTATTCTAGCCATCCTGGGCTCCTTGGCTGTTCTTTCCACAAACTAGGCACACCCCACCCTCAGGGCCTTTGCCATAGCTGTAGTCCTGCCTTAAAAGTTCTTCCTTTGGAATTCACATGAATACACGTGACTCATTCCTTTACCTGCTTCAGGTCTCTACTTGAATGTTACCTTTCAGTGAGTTCTTTCCTGACCACTCTATTTAAAATTTAATCTTCCTTCATTCCCAGCACTCACTCTACCCCTTTCCTGCTGTATTTTCTTCAAAATAAAGGATGTGTCATGCAATGTATTTTACTTAATTCATTTTGTGAATGAAAGAGTGTGTACATAAATAGTCAAGAAACTTGTAACTATTAAGAGGGAAAGTGTTACAATAATAAAATTTTGCTATTATGCTTTAGAGGTCCAGAAGAGAAAAAGGCTCTGTAGACATCAGTAAAACAGACTGTTTTCTGTGTTTTTCCCCCAATATGTTGCTAAGATCTCTGCATGTGAATTAATTCCTCATTTTCATGCAAGTTAGTTTTGATTTTTTGATTATTTTATTTTATTTTTTAATCCTCATCGAGGATATTTTTTCCTACTTCTCATAGAGAGTAGAAGGGAGAGAGATAGAGAAACATCGATGTGTGAGAGAGACACATCGACTGGTGCCTCCTACACAGCCCCAACCGGGGCTGAGCCTGCAACCAAAGTATGTGCCCTTGTTTGGAATCGAACCCGGGACCCTTCAGTCTACTGAGCCAAAATGGCTAGGACAGTTGATTTTTTAAATTAAATATATTTGACCTATAACATTGTATAAATTTAAGGTATATAGTGTTTACTTGAAACACTTATATATTGTAATATGATTGCTGTTGTAGTGATAAAGTAGCACCTCTATCACGTTACATACTTATAACTTTGTCTATATTCATTATATTGTGCGTTAGTTCTCTCTATGGCTTATTTACTACTCATTACGTTTCTATCATTAAACAACATCAATCTTATCACCCACATCCCCACACCCTAGTAACCGCTATTTTACTCTATTTTTTATGAGTTTGACTTTTTTGAATTTCACATGTAAGTGATATCATACAGTACTTTTCTTTCTCATTCTGACTTATCTCAATGTACCATAATGTCCCAAGATCTGTCCATGCTATTGCAAATGGCAGGATCTTGTCCTTCCTCATGACTGAAGAACGTTCCGTCATGTGTGTACCACCTCTTTATCCATGTACTCATTGGCCGAATTTAGGTTGTTTCTACATCTTGGCTGTTGTGAATGCTTCATCTTCTGTGCTTGCACTTTGAGTACTTAAAGTTGAAATGAATCCCCTGCAGGCAGCATCTGTTGGGTCTTATTTTCTAATCCAGCCAGCCACTCTGTGCCTGTTGATTGGTGAGTTCAATTCATTTACATTCGGGGTAGTTATTGATATGGAAGGACTTAATACTATTGTCTTTTTCTTTCTTGTTATTTTGAACTTCCATTTTTTTCTTTTTCCTTCTGTTTCTGTTTACCTTTGCAAGTTTATAGTTTTCCATGGTTATATATTCATTTCCCCCTTGCCTTTTGTTTTGTGTCTATATGCTCTAGATTTTTGCTTTGTGGTTACCATGAGGTTTATATAAAAGATCTCATAGATAAAATAGCCCCTTTTTTCTGTTCCTAGTCCTTTATCTTCATTCACCTGTAAAGATTCTATCCTTTTACTCCTTCCCTTTTATATTTTTGATGTCACAAATTATCTCATTTTTTGGTGTGAATTTGTTATCAAATTGTAGTAGCTATAATTATTTTCAATGCTTTTTTCCCTTAACACTTATGCTATAATTGTTTAACACCAATCTAAATTAGAGTTACAGTTTTCTAATTCTGTCACCTTAATCTTTTCATTTTAGCTGGAAGAGTTAATTTCAACATTTCTTATAAGGCAGGTCTAGTAGTGAACTCCTCAGCTTTTGTTTATCTGGGAAAGCCTTTATTTCTCGATATCAGAAGGATAACTTTGCTAGATCGAGTATTCTTGGCTGGCAATTTTTCTTTCTCAGTACTTCGAGTTTGTGATTCTGCCCTCTCCTGGACTGTAGTTTCCGCTGAGAAATCTGCTGATAGTCTAATGGGGATTCCTTTGTTGTTTACTTCTCTCTTTTTCTGGATTTCCTTAAAATTGGTTCTTTGATAATTGACTTTTGATCATTTTAATTTAATGGGTGTTGCAGGCCTTTTTTATTTTTAAATTTTATTTTTGTTTAAAATATTACAGATGTTCCTTTTTCTCCCCAATGACCCATTCCACCCCCTCCCCAGTCCCTCTCCCCACCATTGTTTGTGTCCTTGGGTTGTACATGTATGCATATGAATTCTTTGGTTACTCTGTCCCCCTCCTCCTCCCTGCCCTCCTCCATCCCTCTGACATTCGTCAGTCTGATCTATGCTTCCATGTCATTGAATCTATTCTGTTCATCAGTTTATTAGCAGATCTTTTTGTATTGAGATAGTAAAGTGTTATATCAGCTTCGTGGACTTGTATGTCTAGTTCTTTCACCAGGTTTGGGAAATTCTCAGCTATTATTCCTTTAAATAAACTTTCTGCACCCCTCCCCCAATCCTTCTGGCATACCCAATATTCATATGTTGGCTTCTCTAATGGACTTTGGATAACTCTTGTAGTTTCCTTCACTTTTTACAATATTAATTCTCTCTTTTCTTTCACCTTAATAGTTTCTAAAACTGTCATACAGATTGCTATTCTCTCTCCCATATGGACTGCTCTGTTTCCAGTGCTCTCATACATTCTTTATCTCCTTTACTGAGTTCTTCAGCTCCAGAATTTTTGCTTGGTTCTTTTATAATTTCAACCTTTTGGGGAAATTACTTACTCTGTTCATTAGTTTTATTCCTGAGTTCACTGAATTGCCTTTCTGAGTTTCCTTTGTTTGTTGAATTTCTTCATAACGGCTATTTTGAATTCTTTATCAGATTTCAGTATACCATGTATTTGAATTTGGTTGCTGGAGAATTGTCATTTTCTTTTTGTGATACTGTATTACTGCAGTCTTCTAGTGTTTCATGAAATGTGCCTCTGTCATCACATTTGAAGAGGCAAATATCTTTCTTACTTAGGTAAAACATGGTTTCCTTTGATTCTAACACTTCAACAACTTGGCAACCAGAAGCCTTTCTTTTGTTTTCCAGAAGGTGGCGATATAGTACAAGTGTCTTGTTTCTCTTAAGGGCTCTGACTCACTTCTAAAGTTTTGAATAGGCTTAAAAAGGCTGGTGGCAAGGGAGGGGGAGGTGTGCTTAGCACCTGGGGCTTTGGGTGTGCTCATGGACTGGTGAGGGGAGCCCCAGAGGTCTGTGGGCAGACAGCAGGAAATTTAGTTCTCTTTGTCTGCCTTCTTCCCTTTCCTTTCCCTCCCCCAATCACTGAGGGGGTCTCCTCAGTAAGCCAGGTGTTCTGAAGAGCATAGGGTTCCCTCCAGCTGCAGCCCTTTTGGTCAGGCTGACTTTTACTCACCCCTTTCACTTTCTACCTCCTCTGCTAGAAAGGTCTCTGCTGCCACCCCTGCTGCTATAACTCCCATGGCTCTGTAGCCGCCTCCTAGGTCAAATCCACCCACTTTTGGATACACATTTGGATGGATCTCTTGGATATACTAGAGTGCTGTGCAGAGGCACTTTGTTTACTTATGGATGTCCAATTAGTTGTAAATTGGAGGAGATAGAAAAAAAGAATGACCTATGTCACTGTGATTCTAATGTCACTCTGTTTTCATTTTTAAATGGTGCTAGACAAGCAGTAAAGCGTGCAAGTGCTCTGTTTTTAAGTGAAAGCCCCGTAAATGTTTACATGTGTGTACATTCATATAACCTCTACCCCAGTCAATGTGTAGAACATTTGTAGCACAGCATGAAGTTCCATCATGCCCCTTGCCTGTTTGCTTCCCACAGCTCTGAAATAAATCTATTTTATTTTCATTATTTTTACCTGTTCTTGAATTTCATATAAATAGTATCATATAGTATGATCTCATTTGTATCTAGGTTCTTTCACTCAACATGTTGTTTTTTAGATTCATCTGTTATGTATATATTAATAGTTTGCTCTTTTTTTATATTGCTGTTTAGTATTACATTGTACATTATTCCAAAAATTTTGTTTATCCAAAGTTTTGGCTCATATAACTAAATACAACAGATTGGGTGGCTTAAAAACAACAGAAATTTATTTCTCATAGTTCTGGAGACCGGAAGTACAAGATCAGCATCCATTATGGTCAAGTGAGAGTTCATAACCAGTGTCTTCTTGCTGTGTCCTCACCTGGTGGAAGGAGCTAGGGATCTTCAACAACTCTCTTTTATAAGGCCCTAATTTCATTCATGAAGACTCCACCCTCATAACTTAAGCACCTCTCAAAGGCCATATCTTCTGATACCGTCTTTAGGTGGTTACAATTTCAGCATGTTAAATTGAGTGACACAAACATTCAGAACATAGCACCCAATCCGTTGCTGTTGATCATTTTGGTTATTTCCAGATATTGACTATTGCAACCCTAGTTTCTCTGAACATATCCTCCCTCCCTCCCTCCTCCCTCTCTCCCTCCTCCCTCTCTCCCTGCTTGCTGCCTTCGTGTGTTTACTCAATCAGACACTAAATCAGCAAACACTCCCGATGACGTTTTCTGCGCACACACTGTTCAGGAAATGCAGACACAAAGGACACGTGATTCCTGCCCGTGGGGGTCTCAGGGTCCGGGGGGAGGCCGACAAGAAAGCAGAGCCTCGCAAAGCCCTGGGAGAATTTCTGGGGTCTCCGGGAGCTGCAGGAATTGTGGGGCCATGCGCTCCGGCCTTGGGGAGGTAAAGAAGGACCCACTGAGATACAGTGTGGCCGGATCGAGCCCTGAAGGATAACAACTTGTGAGGTGAAGTGGGGATGAGTGGTCTTAGGTAGAGTGACCAGAAGGCCCGTCGGTCCCNCATGGAATAGTGTGCTTTTAGCTATTCTAGTGTCTCTATGGTGGCATTATGCTATAATTTTAATTTGTGCTTCCCTAGTAAGTAATGAGGTTGAGTGTCTTTTCATATATTTACTATCCATTTAAATATTTAGTCTTGTGAAGTCCCTAATTTAAGGTTCTTGCCCATTTTTTTCAGTTAGGTCTTTATATGCCCTTTTTTGAAAAATAACTGTTACTTTACCATTTCACAAACAGTATAAAAACCTTGCAACAGTCCTTTGTGTGATTGTTATATATTTTACCTCAGTGTTGTAAACCTTTCAACACATTTATTGTTACCTTCAATATTTATTACTCATTAATTTTAAAAATATATTTTTATTTACCCACATAGTTACCCTTTAAGTGCTCTTTATTTCTCCCTAGTGATTTATATTTCCATCTGGAATCATTTTTCTTTAATCTGAAGAACTTCCTTAAGTGTTTCTTTTGATATGTGACAAAAATCTCTCAGATTTTGTCTTAGATGCGTTTGCCTTCATTTTTTAAAAAAATTATCTTTATTGTTGAAAGTATTAGATGTCC